AAGGCGTCCCTTCATTTCAGGGACATTATATTATGTACAGTGAAATCGGGAAAGCATTTTCTTAATTACTCACCTTGAAGATGTTTTCGATCTGAGTTTAGTTTCAGTTCTAAAGTATGTTATTTAATCATCTATCTGAAGTTGCTGGTTAGGTCTTAACTGGAAATAGCTAGCTGTCTTGTCGACACACGTGGCCTATATTTAAAAGCGGCTATAGAACGTTGAAACGAACTTATTCGTTCGAAGAGTGGTGCTATTCATGGAGGCAATTATTTGAAATGACATGCGTCAAAAATTAAACTGATTTAAGTGACCCATTAACTGTATGCTTTCAAAACTTTTTCTCGAGATAAAACAACTGTTTGTTGCCTTAGCAACTTGCCCTACTTATAACAGAGCTTATACGACTAATTCTTTTAATTATGTTCCACTTGACCAGAGAACAGAATAGCTAGATTCACATATTAAGAAATCTGAGATTTGACCGAAGTTTCTTTTGCATGGTTTAACGGCGTAATAAATCTTTCGGGAATTTGCTCGGTGAACACCGGCTTCACATGTGCCGCGGGATTACAAGGACATCTTCAGTGAAATGGTAATTTAATTTTGTAATGAAAACATGTTTTCTAGTTATTGTCAGTTTTAGAGTGTTTTAGTAACATCCTAATGGGTTTATTTATTACTCCGGTGAGCCAAGATTGGAAGAGTTAGTTTGGGCGGCGAAGTTTACTAAGCCGTCTATCATTCATATGGTGTCAGCCAGTTTATTCGTTGTTGTTATATGTTCCCTGTCGTATACGGTACAACATCACATACTAAGACAGATGAACGTTACGTTAACATTTTAATCTCCATGCTGTTAATGAGTGTTTTTATACGCCGGATAGTCTCTTGAGCTTCCATTAGTGAGATAAACACAAAAAGGTACCGCTAATTATGCCTAAAAGACTTTCACTAATCTTGAACGGAATGCCTTTTAGCGTTAAAATTGTAGAAGCCTTCGAATCTCAATTGCCACTCTATCAACCCCTCAACTCACGTCCTCTTTAGCTCAGTGTCCTCTAATTTTAAAATTATATTTCCGTCAAAATATAGAATTAAATGACCATGTTGGAGCTTCTTCCCGGACAACATATTGCTGGCATGCAATTTCTTGTTCCGAAAATTTTTTTTAAGACATGTAGGAGTCAATGGATAAGCGTAAAATAGAAAAACAAGAGATAATCTAAGTTAATTTTTTCATGTTGCTAGCTGGGTAGTGGTAACCACGTAGAAAGATAGTTGGTAACAGCATAACCTCAGGGAGCCAGCAAGTCCCAATGATCACTAACTGTATCTTAGTGTTTTAACTACCAAGACATTGCAAAAATCCTGTGTTTATTATTCAGCTAAAATCGACAAACAGTGCTCCTATACGGCTGTGCATGGACAGTTGGATCAGCATTTGTTAACAAGTGCCTTACAATTTTAGATCTAGCAGACAGCAAGACACAGCCGGCATATTACGCCTGTGGTTGCTTGATTCGTTCTCACAAAGTGTTACAGTGTTAAGTAAAGTGGAAGACCGTCACATCAACTACCTGTTATGGCCTCGTTATCATCATGACAAACGACCACTTCTGCAGTCTAGATTTCCATTTAATTAATTCCTTCTCATGTAAGAATTTTAACTTATCGGCTCATTTTACCGTGACCAGTCGAACGCCTGGCGAGACCAATCAAAGTTATTGGGGGATTATAATCTGGCAGGTTAAAATTCAGAATTAAATTAAACTACCTTTAGAACTCGCATCATACTTGGACGCCTCAGTAACGCCCGTTCATGTGCTTCTACTTAGTTTGAACCATTAATTTTTAGTTGATAAAATCACTACTTTATGTTCAACCGAAGGAAGACCAAGGTTTTTTAATTCTAACTTTCTCATATAATTGCCCTTTATTGCTACCTGTGTTGCCCCAAGGAAACCTGGGTATCATACACTGCTAGTATTCTCTCTATTTCAGTCATAATTCTAAGTCTGGCATGAATGCTGTTTATGACAAGTGCTGTTTGTATGTTAACCTCCTGACTGTGTGTGAAACGAGACGGTAGATCCACAATTTCCTTCACTTTCTTCAGTTCGATTCATTGCTAAAGGTTGGACTCATGCAATAAATAAAATCCCACTGCTCTACGAGCGACTTCATTTCTGCCATAGTTTAATACCGGATACAATAACCGAAGCTGAGAAATTAAAAAATGGGAAGATGACCTGAAAAGGATGAATTCAGTAGTGGAAAATCGTGTTACATTTGCATTCATGACTAGACAATGTCCGCCCTGGAATAAACGTTAGAAAAGAGTGACCATTGCTATCAAACCCACCGGCTGTGTTTGTCATGTCATTTTATCTCGTGTTCTTGATACGGCGCTCTTGTTCTACGGCATGCCTGACTCGTCTGCTTGCATTGAGAGAAGTATTCCTGCATAAGTCGGCAATTATGATGGAAACAGCATGAGGGAAATTATTGATCGAGATATTTTACCAACGACGGTTTTTTCCCCAAGAACAGGGCAGAGCTCAGTTTCCCATAGACTCTTCTGAACTGTCATTTTGGGTTAATGTCGACTTCGTCTCTAAGAAAACGTAAGCGTTCATCAATACTTTGTGAGCCTGGGCCCAGTTAGGTGATGTTTTCGGAAGAGGAATTTTGTTTAAAGTTCCGCATAACCCTCGGTTTAGCGCTGATCAGAGGAATCAGTTGCAACACTAACACATTTAAATTTGATATTTAGATTAAATTAAAAATGAAAAATTGGCTCTTTCACTACGCAAAACTAAACCCGCACCCAAAGACCGATGAAATTTATAGAATTTTCTAGTTAGTTTTTAGGTTGTGTAGTTGACAATCACCCAGAGAGTAAGTCACCTGTTAAGAACGTGACACCGATGTCATTGGCCAATGAATGAATGTTACAGAATGTTGTACCCCTGTGAGGGGTACGGTCATGAAAGATAATTAGACAAAATTTCTGTTGATACAGTAAGAATGCGGGGAATCCTACGATAAAGGCAACATCAAGTAGCAATCGATAAACTGGATACAAAATTGCATCTTAAGGTATTTAATGGTAGTGCAATGTTTTATTGGAACTTCCTCAACGACGAGAGTCAATCCAAAACATAATTTTCCGTGGATAGATTATTAAAATGACAGTAGGTGAGTTTAATAAAGACCTTTTTAAGTTGTCTCTGCCCCCGGTGGGAAGTCGATTCAGGCTCGCAATTACTCTAGTTGGGAAAGCCTCCCATAGAGAGAAAATCCTTTTGTGGCTTCTCCAGCGAAAATCAAACAAAGTAAGAGTTATTAAACAAAAAATGTATTTTTAGCTAAAATGCTAATAAATTGTTTATATCATTATTGCGGTAAACAAGTGCACTCCGTCGAACACGAGATCTGTCTCCAGACTAGAGAAGCCGACTTACTTTTTTAGAGATATGCGATTTTGGACTGTGACAAAACCATCTTTGTTTAGGTAAGATGAATTAATTATATCGCTAAAAATCTCTTGTGCTTCATTTCCTACGATGGGTAGTAATTGCGTTTAATTAGTTACACATTCTTTTGCGGAACTGACGCGAAGCGGACTTTGGCAGGAAAAGGGTGAGAATCAGGTCCGCGTCCCGGGTCTGCGTGCTTGTTTGTACTGGGTGCTTTTATTTTGTTTTACTTGAGTTTCTTGTCAGAAACTTTGCTATATTTAGGCCTGATCTGAATAGAATAGCAGCCGGCAAAACAAGATTTTTAGTCAGTTACCAGAACCAACGGCGCCACATTTTGAGATGTTCACTGACTTGAAAATGGTCTGAGGTACCCTTTATACACCAAAAATGCATGGTAAATTTTAGCTTACTGCTTTATAGATGACGAAGGTCTTTCAAGCTTCTTTTCGTATACCCTTCGAATGCATGAAAGTAAGTTTGTTGATTAGCAGAATAGAAACAACGTTCGATACCGGTATGCTGAGCGTGTAGAAAAACCAACGCCGGCAGCTGTGTCGAAGAAAGAAACTGAAATGTGCGTTTTCGAAAATTTAGTTTGTGAAGTGAAGACTGCGGTGTACATGAAATAAATTTTTATTATTGTCCACAGTCGTAGCATGAAAACTGTGATAAATTATGCAATTCAGTCAACTTAAAAGTTTTATACATTATTCGGAGAAGAGAAGGTTTTCTTTAGAACGTAAACTGGCGCGCCTAAAATCATTTAACTTAGTAAAAAGAAGTGAGTAGGATTCTCAAGAATACAGAAAGTTCATAACACACAATCTGTTTGATTACCCGTATATTTAGTTTACAGTAACTGGATGACTTTTTTTTATCGTAAGTTTCATAGCAGCGAATGAATGAAGCGAGGTATCGCGAAATGTACTGATCTATAATGGATCTCTGCGCCTGACAATCACTACCTAAAGTTCAAGTTTACTGTGGTGTGTCATTATCGCCCTTTTGGCTTAGAAGTTCTTAGAGGTGTTTGAATACTTTTAGGTTCGCCTTGGCATAGTCCTCAAAATTCCATTAATTTATTATGAAAATACGAAAGGTTAATCTTAAAAGAGGTCTTAAAATTGTGAGGGCACCACTTCAGTCACCTCAGAGAGGGGAGGAAAACGAGAAAGGCCTCGTACTGAGAGTGCGAGGTTATATAAGAATGGAGATGATGAGAAATGAGTGGACGAGGAAGTCAAGTATTTCAGGGGGCGTGTGCAGTGAAGAGTTAGGTGAGTACTGTTTCCATTTACAAAGTACAAAGAAAAGAAATTAATAGCCATAAGTAAATTATAGCCATACATTCAGTAGCTGCCTGTATTCTGGGACAGGTTTTTGTCTCGTCTTTTAATTATTAACTTTTTGTTGAATTTTTAGCCGTAAAGTTTAAGTATTCAAGAAAGTGTTTAATTTATTTGGTTATCGATGTTATAAATAGTTACCCTTACTATCAACAGAAAGGATTCAACAATGCTGTTCCACATTTTACTATCCTTTACGCTGTGTCACATTTACAAAGTCATTCCTCAGCATTGTGACAATGGAGAATACTCTATATTTGGAAAGATGCTCAGAGGACACATATTTAAAACGATAAAGGTATCAACGCCCCATGAATGTCTTCAGGCGTGCAACAATGACATCAGATGTCGAAGCTTTAATTATGTCATCATGAGAGACGTGTGTGAACTTAACAACCGGACCAAGGAAGCCAGGCCTGAAAATTTTGTTCCTGACTCTAAAAGATACTATTTTAAAAGAACTGCAAAATCAGGCAAGTTTTTTTAAATACGATACGTCCTTGACAGCTTGGAAATAGACTAACAGACTAAAACTATATAAGAAATTGGAAAGTACTAAGAATGGGAAAGTATGAAGTTTTTCTCTACAGGCCAATGCGAGAAAAAATCTCGTATAGACGGATACATTTCACAAAAGTGGTTAATTTTAATGACCCAAAGCCAGCCTTGATGGCATTGAGAAATTGTGCCTTGCCAGAACAGGGTGTTCTGTCGCACTTTGTAATACCTGTCGCACTTTGTAGTACTGTACACTTGTCGCACTTCATAATAAACTTGAAATGGATGGTCGGAGGACAAGTAACAACAACAACAACAACAATGATAATAATACTAATAATACTACTACCACTAATAATAGAAATAATAACAATAGATCAACATGAAGATCACTTCGTGTTGCAGTGCATTTAGAACACTGTATAATGAGGTCAGAAACCAAGACCTCGCAGCAACTATATTACAGTTTTTGCTTTACAGTCCCACTCGGTTCTATTCCTGAGATACCTGCCGAAACTTGCAAAGAAATCAAAGCTAGTGAATTTGGACAAGCAGTCAGTGGTGACTATTGGTTTGATTCGGTTCTACCCGGCAAGACAATTCTTCTTCCTTGCAATATGGAAACAGAAGGTCAGTGACTCTACGAGTCCGTAAAAGATCGTCTCAGGGTTATGTTCACGCTGTACCGAATAGCTTTTTCGTGGCGACTCGAAAAGTCCTCCGGTATAGCATGAACAGCAACGACACCGAACTGGAAAAATTCGTCCACACGCATCAAACATCGTGCCGCCAGAGCTGTTGGCCGAGAGGGTTTGGTTCTCTAAATGTCAATCATCACTTTCAATCCTTTCGTTCCAGTCGTCTTTCTACTTATTTACTTTTGCTACTGTCCGAAGACCTGTTCACACCACACTAAAGTGTGCCACAGAACCAATCACATATGTGATGCTCCAATTCGCTCCGTTACCGAACTCGCGCCTAGATCAAGTGACGTTCAAACTAAGAAACTATCGCTTCTTCTGAGTTTCTACTTTCATGTGATACTAGAGCACCTTTAAAACGTTATACAAAAAAATTTTCGGTTCAAAAGGGTTCTTTGTTTTGCAATACAGGACGCTTGAATTTCCAGGCTTTAGCGTGACGCAGCATTTAGCTGGCGGCCGGGAAAGCTCTTATGTGGGTTAAAAACATTACGGATTTTTGGAGATTTTGCTATCTAAAGATTCCTTGTCTTAGAATGAATATTACTTTAATCTTTATGAGTTCCTTAAGCGAAGAATTCACGCATAAGTAGGAAAACTCAAAAACAGATGTTTCTGTTGGTTTCCGGCGGCCATATTTGTGCCCCTGAAAGGGACACAAACATGGCGTCTCCATATAAAGCTTTATAAATTGAGTAAAACGTTTTTCCGAATATCTCGCATACCAACGTTTGCATAGACCTGATTCTTGGCACGGTTTTTGTATTTTTATCTTCTTTCATTTCCCAGATTCTAGACTTTCTGTATTAAAAGGTTTCCATTTTTATCTCTGCTTTCTCACGTGAGTGAAAACCGAGAATTCGGAATGATTTTCCTGCCGTCGCAAAAGCTGTCCAGTATAGTACAGTATGAACATAACCTCAGATGAATGACATGATACCAGCCCAGTTTAAGTTACCTTCGCTGTTATCTATTAAGTGGTATCACCGTATACATTCCTTAAAATCTGTGTGCCTGTTTCAGATGCCGATGAGTGCACCGCGCCAGCCGTCTGTGACGTCATCAATAGCAACTGTACCAATACCCTTGGTTCCTATTTTTGTTCCTGCAAAGTTGGTTTCACTGGAGATGGTAGGACCTGTACTGGTAAGATGAATACAAATACGGTTCTGCAAAAATAATCACATTTCTCACATGCACCTAACTTGAATAGAAAAACATGCACTAGGCCATTTCCCAGTTCCAAAAATTCGCACTTTCACAACGCGGCTTAATGCAAAACCTTTCTTGCAAAAATACATTTTATTTGGAGAGGAATAAAAAATTTTCATATCAGAAGATTCGCACTTATCTTCACTTTGAAACAGAGGCTTGAAGCAGCTCTGAAATTGTCTGTTGCACCGTTACTCACTCGTGCTGCACACTTTTAAACGTGCTTCGTTTATTAAACAGATACAACAAATTGTAAATGCTTAAAACAGGGGTTCCCTTTTCTCTCTTTTATCTTGTTGACTTATATACCTTGATATCAAAGAGTGTGCCGACATCTCTTAACTAAAGCCTTTTAAAATGGTCCAAACGCAGCTTGAACTACAAAAGTTAACAGCGGGGCTCCCAACCATACATGGCTTTTTCCTTAGACTTCCCTTACTAGGCTATCTACAATGCCTTTAAGTTTCTAGAATTGGGATATCCTAGGACGTCTTTAGACTTCTCGAAATGTTAGATGGTATTTGGAAGAGTTTACAGAAACAAGGTATTTTCTGATTTTCCTCTTTTTTTTCTTGTCACTATTTTTGAAGAAGAAAATTGGGTTGGGGGGGGGGGGGCGGTGTCCTTTCTTAGGAATAATAGTCAAACATGGGGAGCCAATTGCTCAAAACCCATGTTCCTCCCCGAAAATCTTTCAAAAATGGAACAGTCATGTAGAAATGTTTAGCTTTTCTCAAGCCTAACCATCCCTAGGGAATCTATTTGCTTCCTCGAACAGATATTTCACAGGACACAGTTGCTTAGTGTTCCTGGATAACGGTTCATTGAGTTAGAATACGGTGGTTCGCTTTGTTACATCGAGAAGTATAGTTAATCCTTCTCAGGGTCTCCTTATCTTCTATCCTTGGAGTATACGCCACAATGGTAACAAGAAAAACAAGGGATAGGAAAGTTTTACTAAAGAACCCTGTCTCTTACATTTGCTGTGTCCACAGATGTCAACGAGTGCAGTGTTTCTCCCTCTGTATGTCACGTCAATGCCAATTGTCAGAACAACGTAGGCTCTTATGTTTGTTCTTGTAACACTGGATTTGCTGGAGATGGGAAAACATGCACAGGTAATAAGATTGCACCATTTCTATTTGTCACTGTTCCTTTGCTTCAACTTCCGGGTTTAACAATAAACCAAAGTTGCCAAAAGTGCCAAAATGCATCTAAATTTGCATAGTTCTAATACGCTTTGATAGGAACTATCTTTCTCACGACAATCATATTAATCATGGTGAACAGCCAGTGGAAAGGTATTCTTTGCGTTTGATTTTGCTCACAATTGAACTAGGCCACAAGCGCCCCAAAAAACTGCAATGGGCTTACCCCGATATAGCCTTGTCCCTGTTGGGTAAGGCTCTTTCTGCTTGCTTAATTTTCTGGGTGGCGGCCAGGGGGAAGACTACACTGAGTCGCTATATCAGGGTCTGTAAGGAAACTCCCGGGATCCGGGATTTGGCCAAAACACACTGCGGGATTTGCCAAGGGGGAACGGATGTGGGATTGGGGAAGATAACGATTTTCGGGATAGTAATGAAAGAAGTTCTGGATGCGGGATTCCCGTGAAAAAGGAGCGGGAATGCTGGATCAGCGCTTCTATTTCTAGAGTCTGATGCGCTATGTGCTGAAAAAGTTATCGGCCAAAGGACAGGAACGTGCTACTGAGGAAGAGTGCCTATTGCTAAATATTTTCCGTTTTGATCGATAGATGTTAACGAGTGTAGTGCCTCAGCTTCCGTTTGTAACGTCCCCAATGCCAACTGTCAGAACAATATAGGGTCCTATGTTTGTTCTTGTAGTGCTGGATTTACTGGAGATGGGAACACGTGTACAGGTAAGATTGTACCGTTTACTTGTCTAACAACCGGAGTGGACCTAGGCCTGTAGTCTGAGAAAACAGCCGACATTTCTTGACACTACCACAAGTTTTCATGCACAAAATGACGTCTGAGGAATGAACATGGAAATTTCACACTAATGACGTGTCACTACTTTGATCTGGGCAGTGCTTCTGATTGGTCTTGCCGTGAAGGAAATAGGGGTTAGCCAATCAGAAGCATCACCCAGATATGGGTAGTAAAACGTCGTCAGTGTGGAATTTCTGCGCTCGTTCCCCAGACGTCATTATCGGCTGTTTTCTCAGGCCAGAGTAAGCCCAAAAATGCCACAAAATCAACAAATGGCTCTGATAGGAGCTTATACCAACACTGGCTATTTTAAAAAAATTTCCGTTTTAATCCATAGATATAAATGAGTGCAGTGCCTCACCTTCTGTTTGTGACGTCAATGCCAACTGTCAGAACAATGCTGGTTCTTATATGTGTTCTTGTAATGCCGGGTTTATAGGAGATGGAAATACGTGCGAACAAGGTATGTCGATGTTACTGTCATGGCACATCACTGGTCCGGGGGCGGGTTTTGTTTAACGCTGAGTTAAGATAACCCACGGTTAGTGCGAAAGTTAAAAAAGCAAATTAAGTTGAATTCTTTTGTCAACAATTAAATGATTCGATGCTCAAAAAAGAATCGAGAAAATTATCCTGGAAAAAGCTTTTGAAAAGAAGGAATTAGCCCTGGATAAAAATCTAATCCTGGGTTGGCGCTAATCGGTCTTCGAACAACTAGCTGGGCCCAGGAGAAATAATTTTCCTGCAAGAGCTGTCTAGATCTCTTGTAAGCTGTGTGCGGTACACGTATTTGCTAAACACACGGAAGTAGCAGTCTTTTCAGGCTTAGACGACTCTTCAAAGCGAAACGTGAGCGAAATCGTACACTAAGCGCCCTTCCTGTGAATTAGTGCCCCTCTTCCATTGACTCAAAAAAAAAAAAAAAAAAAAAATAAAAATAAACAAATAAATAACCCCGGGGCTAATTCAAGCACATTACTAAGGGAAGGACGGGATATGACCTTATCTCACTGTTCCTCTTCAGAATCAACTGTATTGCGTTTTACTTGAAAAAAATAACAAATAACAAATTAAAGTGATTTAAAAGTAAGGACATTTAATATGTGGTCGAAATTCTGCTGCAAGGTCTGGAAACTTGTAACATACTTTGCTTTTGTTTTGTTTTGTTTGTTTAATTGTTTGTTTTCATCGTCAGGAGTATACGTTTCATACGGCAACCGGGAGTCAACTTCGCGTCTCGTTCAAATAATTCAAATCTGATTACAAAAAGCATGTTTAAGAAACCCAACTGATACTGAGGAGGCGAACCAGTTGGCTATTTCACAAGTGTGGCCGAGGATTTGAACTTGGGACAAGGACAACAAATCCAGTTAGCGGTCAGGGTGGGACTTGAACTCGGGGCCTCAAAAGCTGCTGTAGTCTGCTACACAGCCGTTATTAGGGTCGTCACGCAATGCTCCTCCCCACTGGGGAGGAGCGTTGCGTGACGACACTAAAAACAGCTTTGTAGCAGACTACTCAAGAGCCGGCTGCAGACTCCTAGGGCCAATTTAAGGGTAAATTTAATAAAACTTTTAAAAGTGTACGCATTGTTTTCGTGTCTAAAAACAATAGCTACACTAAGACTTGTAAATTACTCTTGTAATAGTTTTATTTAATTCACACCTGATGGTTGCCATAAGTGACGGTGAGCTCAATCTCGACGATCTAACGGAAAGATAGGGGCTGGGTTGTGAACAGTCTAAGTAGGGTAACACCCCCCTTTACTTACTTTTCTTCCTTGTCTTTCTTTCCTCCCGTTAGACACGAGTTCCTGTGCAGTGCGAAGAGCAAATTCACAGACAACTGACGGAATTTATCAGCTTCAAACAAGTTCTTCCTCAATTCCGGTAAGTACGTTTCGGCTGAGTTTCAAGATTATTTCAGTTCGATTTTTTTATTAAATGGGCAGTCGTTAAAAGGCAGCAGAAAGCAATTTACAACCTGGCCCATGATACGGCTTCATTCAGTTAAAAATGTAAAAAAAAAATTGACACTTCTGGCGTAATGGATGGTTAACTCGTTTGCCTCTTACAGTTTATGAAGGTTAAGAGAATAAATTTTATTATAAAAACACCAATGAAATACCAAGTGAGCTTCCGCGCGAAAACTTGATATCTTCACATGTGAAAATATCACCGTTGTTATATGGCTTCATAAGAAACCTTTCAGACCAAAATGGTTTGGTATTTCATTAGTGTTTATATCAGAACATTACATGATCACTTGGAGATACGGAATTTCTCTTCTCGTGTTGAAAAAATATTTCACTCGTTCGCTGCGCTCACTTGTGAAATATTTTTCACACTCGAAAAGAAATTTCGTATCTCCGCGCGACCATGTAATATCCTCTATATATGTCTTCGCCGAAGAAACTAGGGAGCTTTAGCATCGACGACGGCAACGGCAGCGAATACGAAATAACTACGCATATGAAAGGGATGGGGATGCTCGTCGGAAATTTTGAATTAAACCCCTAAAGGAGACCGATCTGGGCGTGGCTCAAGCTTTTTTTGACCCCTAAAAGAGACCATGTTAAAACACAGACAATGTATGTATTTTTATATTTTTTCGCGTGCAACCCTAAACGAGACCTTCAAGGCTAAATATGATGGCGTTTTGCCCAGAACACCCTAAGTGAGACCAAAATCTGAAATTTACTCCCCTAAGCGAGACGACGAGCATCCCTACCCGTTTCATATGAGGAGTCCCCCCCCCCCGGGGGTAAGTGACACACCATCAGGGTGGAATGCCCGCGCTTGTTACAGCATATTGGAACCCAACGACTGTTTTCTGTAATATATCTGTGCGGAAAAATCGCTACGATTTCCTGTTTAATTACATTTCACTCCCCATGTTAGGCCTCTGTTAGGCTATTATTCGTACAAACAATGGAAAGGTAAAATTTTCGGATTTAAAAATGTGATGGAGGGAAGAATTAGAAAAATTCTCATTTTCGTGATACAAGTTAAATTGAATTTTAAATTTTCCTGAAATTTTCGGGAAAATAATACTGAAGCCATTGCCATTGTAACTTCAGTCGAAAAGACTCAAGTTCCCCTAGGATGACCGAACAGGTACCAATTATATAGCGACTCCTAGAATGCATTTCTAGAGATCTAAGAGTACTCTGAATAGCCTAAAAAGTATTTTCAATATATTTAGGGGGAAACCGTCGTTGGGTGTCCCTGTATAAAAAAGATCTACAGTCCCCAGAAAATCATTAAGCAGCAACTACACTTTAACTGCAAAGGACCGAAAACGAATGTGCTGCATATTCGTTTGCTGTCCTTTGTGGTTAATAATAGGGAGCCTAAGCAACGACGACGCGGACGGCAACGAGAACGGCAAAAAAGCAATAGGTTTGATTAGCAAAACAACAACTTTGCACGTGCATCACGCTTTTTTTGTATAATTCTTTGCCGTCAGTGCACGACTACAACGTGAAAGTGCCTGAATTCACGTTTTGTCGAGGACGGGAACACAAGACAACAACTTTCTTTTCTTTTCCTGAACTTTGATACAGTCCTTTAGAATTCAACTCCAAAAACATTTGCCAACATTTGACGGAGCAAACGAGATGGAATAAGCGCGATAAAGTTTGAAGCGGTCGCCGTCGTTGTTGCTTAAGTTCCCTAATGTTCAGTTATCCTCAATAGTTTGCCGCTCTGCTTTTGCCAATATAAGAGAGCTTTAGATTTGAGGACGAGGACACCTGCGACTACGAGATTTAACTTAAAGTTTTTTCGCGTATTCCCGAATAATATTGACCAATATTTAACCCGAGAAGCTTCATTGTACAATTTTCAACGGAACAATCAGTGTGGTTATTTTTATTAGAGGAGGTTTAGCCCTTTCCGGGTCGAAAAATGATTAAAATTCTCAAATTTGGTAACTTGTTCCCGTAACTACGACATTTTCGCGAAAACGCGTAGTAGAATGACGACGGCTATCACGTTTTCCAGCCAAAATGACGCTGGCTTATGCAAGAGCACTATTTAGTGCTGAGAAAATCTTGTACTCTTAGTCGTCCTCGTCTCAGAATCTAAAGCTCTCCAGTAGCTGACCGGCGCGTCCCCAGTAACGGCGCCAAAAAAGAATTGCGGTGTTCCAGTCCTCTTCTTGTTTCTACAATGGCGTATGGCCGCCAAACTCAGTTAAGGCTCAAATTTTTCCTTCAGGTGTATTGTGACATGACTGCTAATGGAGAGGGTTGGACCCTCGTGGCTCGGTTCTCTAACGCTGACTCCAAAAACTGGATGAAAAATACTGGAGAATGGTGGTACGATAAAACTGCCGCTTATGGAGATACAACTGTCCCCTCAAGCAACACTGACATGATCTCTCCAGCATTCTGGCTTGTCACCGGCACTCATTTCAAGATTACGCGCAGTGATGACCCTCAGACCGCTTTGTTGAAGACCACAAGTAACTGTTTGGGCGGACAGACATTCAGATCTAAGATAAGAAGCTATGGTAACTTCAGGAACAGCAAAGTTTGGGCAAGCAACAAATGTCTAGGAAAATGTGCGGTCCAATACGGCGGACAATACCAAACAACTTCTGGTTTTAAGACGACAACTTGCTCTGGGAGCATCCAAGGTGCTAATTATATCGGGTTCTGGTGCGACTATAGTGCTGGTGATGGAGCTGTAATGATGATTGGTGGTGGCGGATCTGGTTGTTCACGTGCTGATCACGGGATTGGGGTAACAGAAGCTAACAGCGCTAACTTCGGGTCCGGTCCTGAGAGAGATTTTGGCAATGATGGTGGTTCCGGGGCCAGCGCCTACTCGTTAAACCTGTGGGTGCGCTGAAATTTACAGAAAAGAAAGTAATCCAATCCAATAGAGGTGACAGCTACAGAAATGTAAAAAAGAAATTAGCTAAGCAGTGGAGTTGCACTTACATTGCACTTGTCGGGAAAGCTTTTTTTGGTGCTACTGCTGCTGTTGAATTTTTTGGTCTGGATTGCCTTGTTTTCAATCCAGAGACCATTTACATTAACAATACTCGCCGATATCTGAAAGTTTAAACAAGGGCATAAGAAGGAGAGAAGAAGAAGATAAGAAAAGCCCTGTGACGGTGAACTGCATATGTATACTGACGATACATCATCATACGTAATTTGCCCCAATCCTGACATGGCAACCGCCTCACTTAATTTCATTCAGAATAAAGTCACTAACTGGTGTCCAAATAATTATTTCAACAGCACACCTGGGCAATACCATGGTCAATCATGTGGCCTCTACTCATTGTTTGGGCGTTGAAATTAATTAATCAGATTGAATTAACATAACTTATCTTTAGTTACAATTTTGAGAGTGAAGTAAGCATGGACGACCACTGTTAAGATCAAATGAGAATGCGCGCATTTTAAGCTAGATTCAATTGATTGCAACCATGGCATTAATATTCATTTACAATGCACAACCCCTTCTATTGTTCTTGTGTCATAACTACTAACAAGTGATATTGACCGATATTCAGTTGTACTTTTATCGTTCCATTAACAGTATAAATGTCGAAGATGCTAGAAACGAAATGTACATAAAAACCATAAATGACTTAAACCCAGGCCTTAATCTACTTGAGCAGCGCTGAAGAATAAACTGAACTCAGCCGGTATGTGCTGTTACGCCTACAAAATCGGCCTCGAAGACGACCGAGTAAGGAAAATTGCTTAGTAAAAATAAAAGCTTGCCTGTAAATAAACCATGACTTTGAAATTTATGTCTTGGGAATGTGCTTACAAATCAAAATTTCTTTCCTGTGTTTTGTGCCAAATACGTATGACATCTGTGGGATAAAAAAAGCAATCACAATGACCACAAACTAGTTATCTAAGGCGTGAACCAATTATCAGGATATCCGGCGCCTCTCAATCATGGATCTATGTAGTTTCTACGTCTATCATGTCCGATGTTTTTCGCTCTTTGTATCAGTCTAAAAAGCAACAAAAACAACCGGAAATGAATATTCGATAATATACCGGATTTGTTGTACTTGTGGCAGCTTCCTATGTCCAATTATAATCGACGGAATTAAGTTTCTTTTTATCACAAGCTAGGCGTGTAACATAAAAAAAGTTTACGTAAGGTTTCATGCTGAGGGGAAAAATTCACCCATAATATCAAAATGTTTTTTATTTTGTGAGGCAAAATTCTAGGCCGTTGATGTATTCATTGGTCTTTATTGCTCATTGATATCCAGTGCATCAACTGTTGAGACAAAGGAAAAGAATTTGACTTTAACCAAGTGGTGTAGCAAGGTGCCAGGAGCAAGGCTTCTTTACTCGTCTGAGAAGCTGTAATAGATTTTCCGGGAAATCAAACAACTGAATGATGTGTTATTCTCATAAGCACTATACTTCTATATAACATGCAACAAAGGGATACGTTCTGTGATGTTGATCGGATCTAGAGATGTTACTATCTAATGACGTTTTAAAATGATTGTAAATTAAATCGATTGAGCCACACTTTTTCGCTTATATTAGAGTCTTTGATGTAAACGTTGTTTTGAACCTGCCTTACCCTTTATTTTTTTTCTGTATTTTTCTGCCCAATAACTATATGCCGAAAAACAACTACATTTAAATTAGACATTACATTTCAATCCAGAATGGAAATTTTGAATTTTGTGAGTTTTCTTCGCGTGGGAATTCTCTCTCATGTTGTAGAGATGTTACTATCTTGACGTTTTAAAATGATTGTTTGACACACCCGCTGCTGAAACGTTGTTTTGAGCTCTATTGCTGTGAAATAACTTTTCGAAGGAACAAATATTACCTAGAAATATCTAAAGCCGGTCAAGAAGGATTGAAAATTTTAAAATTTCCTTAAAACCATACCATTAACTTCCTCTTTTTACTTACTTGCTTCACAGGCAGCTGTTAAATAATTCTGTTGCCTTTTAGGGAGACAACTTTTATCTCCGTTCCGTGCATTTTCTGCTTTTTGGTATTAAATTCAGTACATGGCAGTAAGTTTGTTGATTAATAAATCCGCGGGTACCTGACGTGATTAAACGTTCCGAATATTTATCATGCTTGTAGAATTCGCTTTCTTACTGATTTGATAAAATTGCCGGTACCTGTGGCTCAGTCCCGGGGGGGTACTCGATATATTCCTGGGTGGGGAGGTGCGGCGCGGCCCCTCATACTCTGACCCTGTTTAAGACAAATATCGCCGATTTTCCTACCCTGTTTAAGACAGAATTCCGATTTTTGATACCCTGTTTAAGACATTCTTCCTGTTTAAGACAAAAATTGATAAATCGATACCCTGATAAAGACAAAAAATGATAAATTCGATACCCTGTTTAAGACAAAAATCCCGAAAAACATACCCTGGCTCGCTGCGCGTCCCCATTAAGCCCTTATAAGGGAGTACCCTCCCCCCCCCGGGGGACCCAGTCCATTCCAGCACATTTGCACTGCATTCCAAAAGATATTGCAGATTGACAAAAGGGAAAAGCCCAAAATCTCCTACTTGCACTGAAACTCTTTTCATATGATTTGATGTGCAAGGCAGTATAATTTACGTTTATAATGTCCGGATAGTTGTGTCCTAAAGGGTTTTTAATGCAGTCGAAAGTACGCGGACAAATCTGCAGAAATAAAAAGTTTGTATTTTTGCTGTTATCAATTTATAGGCTCAGGAAAAAAGAAAATTTGCCACCAAACATCTTAAATGTTTAGTTACAATTCTAAAAATAATGCTCATAGGAATAAATAAAAAACAAAAGAAATTAATGTTTTAAGAGTGTCTTTATGTCTGAACTTTATTGAACTTTTACAGATACAATATTGTACATGATCTTTATCAACGAACCATTAGCGAAGTGTGCAGTTTCATTAAAAAGGGTTGATTTATATGCATAAGACTCTGAGTGGTCGCTTACGAGAGCTTAAAAGAAAAACAAAGGAAACGTCCAGTTGGGTAGAGGTTGCTTACGAGAGCTTTTCATTACAAAGTTTATGTCACAGTTTAAACGGGGTTTCACAAAGGTGGTCGTAACTCTAAAAGCTGGTCGCTTACGAGAGTGGTCGCAAGGAGAGCTTCGACTGTCCAAAACGAGGCCACAATAGTAGAAGCACGGTCCTCAATGAGTGAACTTGAAATGAAGTTATCCCGTATAATATAATAGGTGACGAATTACTCCTTAATTTTGGCGCGAAATTTCAGTGATAATTTGTAATTTCACATGTGAAATTACAAAATTGCCATGGCAACCTTCCGTACGTCTCAGTGTCAAGATGGCGACGAAGTTTTAAAATGCCGTGAATGAAGATGTCAGGGCACAAAAAGACGCTTTAGAAAACCTGAACACACAAGAGACGATCAAGAAGGACTGTAACATGTATTTTGCCGAAAAAGTCTGAAAAATTCTGAAATTTACAAGCCAAATTTAAAGTCTAAACATTTGAGAGAGTGGAGTTCTCTATCGATATGATCCAGGATAAACATGTCAAAAATCCAAGATTGCTATTATAACGTAATTCGTCACCTATGATATTAATAGGTAATCAAATAGTATACTCGTGAAATTAGGGAAATTAAAGGCTCGGGAAATTATACGGATTTGGACAAAACGCGCGTGAAATTATTCCCTATTTTCACTCGTCACCATTTGATTACACATACATATACGACCTGCGACCAGTGACCTGTGGATTAGACCTGCCGTCTCAGATTGGGGGTTTTGACGACTGCAGCGGGATGCTTCGAGGTCAACTTCGGGGTCGGCTGTGAACTGACACATCTTCGGCAGAAGCCACGCGCCGAAATTATCACCCAAGGTACAGCTTTTAAACAGTGCTCGTTAAAACCTCGGTTAAACCACGTTCCATCCACAAGAGGAGGAGAGGGAGTTAGGAGAGTCCCTGATGTTCACTTGCTGGGGGTACTTTAGCCGACCACAAAAAGAAGTACAGTATAACCCGGAGGTAACTCGAACTCTGAAGGAAAACGAAAAACAGTTCGAGTTAGTGGGGAATTCGAGTTATCAGGGTAAATTTAAAGGAAATTTTGATCAAGAGAAAGAAAATTTAGTTCGAGTTAGCGGTAAATTCGAGTTATCCTAGTTCGAGTTATCGAGGTTCTACTGTCCAGTCACACTTGACTGAGCATACATGTATAAATTACCAGTAGTTGCCGCTGGACGGATTGACTGAGTCATAAACAAGATGGCGGCCTGTGGCTTGTACTGAGTGCAAATGTACAGAGTGACCCAAGAGACATCTCAAGAAAACCGGTACGAGAAACTTTATGTCATATTCATTGTTTACAAATAAGCTCATTTTCGTATGCATATTAGTCATATTTAATAATTCAGAATAGGCCATTTTACAGTTATGGATGGAAGCAGGGCTGACGGTGACCTTGTTTTGATACAAACCTTTCTGCTTTATTATGTAAATCAAATTATTCTTATGCTAACTAGTATTTTTCAAGGACAATTTCCATAACAAAACAAAGGAGGTTTGTATCAAAACAAGGCCAACCTCAGCCTCACATTCACTCGAGGGCTAGGGTGAAGTCCACAACTGTAAAATGGTCTATTGTGAAAATTCGAAGTGAAATTTAAGGACACAAGAGGGAAGGAAAGGGCCCTACCTTAAACATCCAGTGACATGTTTTTTAAAGGGGCTCGACTGAGCCAGTATGTGTAAGGACCTAGCAGGACATTCATTATCAGCATAAGATTCATAAGGGCCTTCACTATGTCCCAGCCCTCTGCAGTGAAAGGACAACAAAATAATGTTTAACCAGAAAAAGCACAAACAACGGAGGTACAACAGGAGGGGCATTTCATTAAGTGACCGGGACTAATAATACATTTATTTAATAATAGATTTTTTTTTACCGATTGAAAAATCATACCATATTCAATGCTAAACAAGAGTATAACATACCTTCATACCTGAACAATATTTGTCACTTATCAACCATTGTGCTATCACAACGTGAAACATTTTGTTTCTCCTCCCTACTGACGCAGCATAAAAGTATTTTATGATACACAGACAAGGGGAGCAAGGAGGGCAAGGGTGGTGCAATGGTGAGAGCACTTACCTCCCACCAATGTGGCCTGAGTTTGAATCCTGACATTGAATACCATATGTGGGTTCAGTTTGTTGATCTGGAATGCATGGACATGTTTTAACGACTACTTTAGAATTCCTAAGTGCTACGTGGGTAAACAAATTACTATTTACCATGACCAATTACCACTTACCATTTACAAGTTCCTTGATCCTAACTCACTAAGTGGAAATTGTGTCCATAATATTTATTTCAGTGTTCACAATGTGATGGTTTCATTGAATGGTAGACCTAGTGGGGAGGGGGTGTTGGTCCAGACCCTCGTAAATATATCCAACAGAACTGAGCCAGCTGTCTTGAGTAATAAAACATTGAAGTAACGCCTTAAAAAACCTGTTAAGTGTCCCTTACGAATGGGATTTTATCAATTTGATTAAATCTAGACAAAGTTATTTTATGACCACCACAAGGCACGATTGTTTTAAAGCTCGGTCCTCTACAAGTAGACTGCCATTCGTAGCTAACGCATCATGAGGAATGGGTCTACGAAGTAGAAACCAACGATTTATGACTTGGAAGGATGGAAATTATTGGCTTCATCCTGGTGTATAAGCTGCCCCTGACCTCCCCTCCCCCCGAACAAAAACTACCCAGATCAACCTCTCATGGATGAGTGTCAATAGGCTGAGGAAGATCTTCTTCTTCTTCTCATTATTATTATTATTATTATTATTATTATTATTATTATTATTACTATTATTATTATTATTATTATCATTATTATTAAATATAAAAATTCCAAAAATAACGGGATCAAATTCCCGATAGAGAAACGATAGTAACGGGAAGGAAAAGCACCATGCAATAAAACAGGAGCTAAAATCGATAGAAGTCTACCTTGCTGGGGCTTTATTTCATTACTGAATTATGTTTGTTCTTGCCTTGGTGATGGAGCGTGAATTACAAGAAGAATGAAGATTTGAATTTGTTTTTTCTTTGTGGCCATAAATAACTGACCCATCTGCTACTTACGCCCATAATCACATTAAAACACTTTTTTTTGTACTTAGTGTAGAACTCACACATTTCACTTCGAAAAAGAACCCACCAACGACTTGGAAAGCACTTGCGTTTGTAAACAGGATTGAAAGGAAATTTAACTCTCCTCATACCATGAACAATTTATTGCCGATTTAGTCAACTCCCCGACTGACGTGGTACCACAACCGTTCAGGGTAAAAACTAGTCCTATTTAAAACTGATATCTTTATTTAAATCAGCGTCAGGGTGTCTTCTGATGAGTTTTACGCCCGTATCTGATAACGATCGGCTATTATTTTTAGGCTAAGTTGTGTATCTCGGCGGTTTTTGGATAATAAAATGGCTTATTTATCTTTATACCGACTTACTCTTATTTTGTGAAGGCCGTGCATTAGGTTAAATGACACTTTTTTAAATCTGTTGTTTTCTCATCACTTTTCCTTGCCGACATGTTTTGTATAGCATCAGAAAATATTGCGTGGTAGGGTTTTAAAAACTAATCTACTTGAAGCCACGAGCGGCGTGTGCGCTTACAGATATCGACATATAATAATATCTTTATAAGAGCGTTTCACATACCTTACAAGCATAAACGAAGGTGAGAACTTGTAGGTACAACAGCGCTTTCCGAAGACACTTGGCAGCTGACTTGGTTACTTTTTAGATATTATAACTTTTGAGCAGCAATTAAGTGCAAACGAGTTTTAGCCCACAGACCCAATAAATGGGTATAGAGATCCAAACAAACAAAATGATAATCAAATAAAGACCCCCGGCGTAAGTGAACGCTTGCTGAAAAAAAAAAAAAAAAAGAAAATTGCTAGAACGCATAGATCAATAAGTAAGTGACTTTGCACCCGTGCAATTATGAGCTATTTTGATTGTTATATAGCGTCTAAATGAAGTGGAAAACTTAGCTATGAAAATACTTCAAGTTAGAGTAAGTGAGAATTATGTTTCAAGTGTGGCGACTGAAAACATTCAGCTCGTGAGTGGCTCCTTTAAGGCTGTCGGTAAAAAATCCAGGATAAATAGCCCATTCAGTTGATCTCTGATCAGCTTTCCGTAGTTTTCTTCACATGTGCAATAAAATTACGGTACTTACAAATTTTCTGTTCATCTTTTTTCTCCGAGAAAGATATTCCAAGGTGGTCTCTCAACTTTAAACCCATTTCAGACTGAAATTGTTTCCGGATGTTCATAATCTGAGAGGGTTTTAACGGATTCAAAGTGAGTTCAGCCAATTTAGTATCTTACTATATCCATTTTCGCTATAAGTATCGGGGGAGTGGAGATGAAAGCCGTCTCCTAGACGCCTTGGCCATGCCCCTCTCCAGACCATAAAAACAGCTTTGTTTCAAGAGCACTTTAGGCAGAAATAGTTACACCCCACCAATGCACTGGTGCACTCAAAACTCTCCGGACCTACAATGTGTAGCTTACTTAATACACATCCAAGTTACCACCTACCTGTAAACATGTGTGGTGTGCTTTGTATATCTTTCAATGCTTCTCGAATTTTTCTTCATACCTAAAAGATTAAACTAAATTAAGACCCACACTTTTAAGCTGCCCCATTTGCAGACCTATAGACATCACGTGAAGTGCTTATTAAATTAAATCTTGGCAATAAAATAGTTTTGCTGAAAATGTTCTAGAATATTTTAGGTCTTGGATCCGCCCAAAACCGGTGAAGATTATATTCCGGGAAAATTGTTAACATTACAAATTTCAGTGGGACTTCGGGCTATGCTTAAACAAGCCTAAATTGACCAAAGGCGTAACTAACTTTTCGAATGACACTATTCCACAGGCGTCTCAACTTATTTTCACGTAAATTATATAGAAGTCTTGTCTTTTTACATGAGGTTTTTTCCTGCTACTTTCAAATCGCTGGTCATGAAGCCAGTGGCAAGATTTCATGACGATTTGTCGCGGGTGGTGAAATTTCCATTTTTTCGAACCTGCTCGTCATTTACGCTATTAAAAGATGACTTTCTTGGCGACAGCTGCATTGGCCAGTCTGGGTGATTGTTCACATCTTATGTGACCTACGCGATAACCGCTGCATAAAGATTAAAATCGCAAAGAAGATACCTCAAAATCCATAAAGAAAAATGCAGCAAAAATCGAAGGAAAAATTGCGGGAGAATCAGCGCCTTAAAACTCCAAGAATAGTAGCAAGTTGCTAGGTAGCAAGACCTTATTATCCACCGGCTTGAACAGAGTCAACCTGTTAAGTCAAAGTTACTTATCAATTATAGACTCGCTTTCAATCGACTCAACATCGTTTTTTATTTCAGCATCGTAAAACATACAAAAGATCAGAGACAGTGTTTAATGAAGATAAAAGAATAAAGGCTTGATAAACCTAGCAAGAAATTAAACATCATTACGTTGAATAATCTAACCTCGTAACCCCTTAAATAATCTGATTTAAAATATTTTTCTGCATCATTTCTTAAGTTTCAGTTATTAGTTTTTGACGCGTTGAACCAGCAACTCCCCTTTAGAAATTATGTCACAAAAATGATGGGATTCTACCAGAGTTAAACAAACCGTGAATTCGATCTGGACGCTACGTATTTATTTCTTACAAGATTATCGTTTGCAAGATTAAACGGATACTGAGGCGAACTAGTCTGTTCGTATACACATGTACTAGAGACCGATGACAGTGCTATCAGGAGCTTTGCTTTTGGCTAGCAAATGCGAAGTATATCATTACTCGATATATAACTTCGTTCAACACTCGAGCCACGTTCTTTGTAGATACCTTTGCCGGTAACTAACTTACAATGTAACTATGTTGTACAATCATTCGTGTGTCAGAAATTCCAAAAGTTACGGTGAGTGTCGTAAAGAAACCGGCTAAGGCGATCAAGACACGCGCTAATGGCTGATCGATTTGTTCTTCCACACGCGACAAGCACACGTGAATTACCTAATTCTAAGGACGTCTTAAATGGCTAACATACGCAGACTTTGAGCTGTGAAATTGCTATAATTTTCCTAATTTTTGTCTTTCTTTCTGAGTATCACGACGAACGACAAGACTCGACACCTTTAAGAGTCACAACACTTGTCTGCACCATCAATAACTTCCTTCCCGGGTCTCGGGCTCAAGAAACTTATCACGAGAATGTAGTGGAATAATCACATGAATAACTGCCACGAAAGAGGAAATGTACGCTGTAAAGTGGGGAACGAAGGTAGGGCGGGGGGGGGGGGGCATCTTGACTACGCTATTCTGCCGAGCCCATCAGTTGGTAGTCATTACTACGCCGGTTATAAGGAACAAAGGAAATCACACAGTCCCACTTAAAGCATTTTTTCCCAGTTCCATCCCAAAGTGACTGAATTATTAGGCTTCGTATACTCTAGCCTTGCCATGTATACTTCCCTGCTCCCTGCCCCTCCCCCTGGAAAATTCAATAAAAAAAATTCAATAAAAAAAGCCAAAATATAAGTCACTTTTATCAGATATTGAGTGGCAAGCTGCAACTTAAAAAAATCTTTTAAGGAGATTTCTTGGGGTTCATTACATTAGCGTTCGAAAGGTTTGGCAAGACGAAGTAAAGCCATAGAGTGCTTTGCATTTATACGATTTAAGGTATTTTGTTACACAAACTGGCTAAAGAGCAAATTCCTCTTGGAGAAATTTTTTTAAGAAACTTCAACGAGACTATTCATTTATGCTGCTTTCATCAATGCACAGTTCTCCCGGCATCAGGAGTCAAAGCTATAGTTGTGGATTTTGCCAATATTTAACCAAGAGCCTTTAGGTTAAAATCTCTCTATGATGAAAGCTTTTCGATATATGGCCTTTCCATACAAGAAAAAAAAAAAGGTCTTGAGTTAATGACTTCTCTTGCTGTCTGTTAGAAGGTTTAAACCCTGACCCTATTTCCGACAAACTCACTTTTATCGAATTTCCAAGTTTGCCATGATCAGTGTAAAACTCCGGAATATCCTTTTCAGACGAAACTGTTTCCGCCCTTTAATACACCTGAGATGATTTTACTGACATTGCATACTCAAAGAAACCTCTGATCGATGGTTTAATTTGTTCTATTTATGCCAGTTAGATAAGTCAGAAATCTTGGGTCTGGGGGAAATTCCCATGGGATAGTCTCCTCTGATGGCTTCTGACTGTACTTCTCTATTAAAATTCAGAGGAAAAAGAAACCGTCGTCCTTTTTCTTTTTCGGTGGGAAAAAAGGCTGGGAGCCAACAAGCTTAGGATCGGAGCTGAAAGCCACCCTGATACTCACTTATAATTTGACGGAATAGGTTTTCCGAGTGAGAGAGAAGTCGAGGAGGACGTCGAGGGACTTGGGGGTGGGGAGAGTAGGGCTCTTATAATTGTGTAAAAAGCGCGCGATGCTCGTCATGAATTGGAATTAACCCTTTAAACTCTAATATCCGTATGCAAATTCTCGAGACTGATCTCCATGCATTTTCTTACAAATTAGTTGCGAGAATTTGATAAAAGACCATTCAAAGTTGTATTTTCCTTAGAGATCATTTTGTTAAATACCTCATCATAATCTTTCCTCTTGACGATGTATGGATATTCGTAGGAGAAAATTGATGTTGATCACTCTTGGGACTTAATAACTATATTACTTTTTCGGATACAGCAGTTATCGTGGAATTCTTTTTTTTGCCTTTCTTTTATTCTTTTCACCTTTTTTTCTTCTTCGGTCCTCTCAATTAAAAAAAGCAGACATAAGCGATACACAGTGTGCTTGTTATAGCAACATCTGCAGTTTACATCTGTGGACAAAACGAAGGGCATCTACTCCCATTTCGTACCGGAGTACCCCCGGGGAATTTACTGGGAGCCATTAATAGATCTTGACATCTTGGTTACGGCAGGAGCCGATTACTGGTTACGGTGATTAAAGTAAACGCTTAGCCCTTTCTAAGAGCGGAAATGAAGGTAGTCTCCAAAGCGAGACACGTCGGAAGCTTTGCGGAAAGTGGTAACGACCAAAATTCCTAAACATAAAAAATTTTTAACTCGAGTTTTTTATCAGCTGAAGGGAAGACGTAGCCTTCAACACATACTAGAGCTGTAGGTTGATTGAGTCCCAAGGTTATTAGCTTATTAGTTTCCTGTTAATGACTTCAAATTTGAGACAGAAAAAGTGGATGGAAATTAGACAGTTTTATTCTACTTTTGCTCTCCGCTGTGTAATGCACCTTGAACCTCACCGTGATTTGAGACGGGGCTGCAATCAGCGACAAATATAATAATCTTGTTATTTATAAGTAAGTAAGCCGATAAAATAAAGTATACAGAGTCTTTGACGAGAAAACGCAGCTGTTTTGTAATTTATGTGTGAGAAACTGAAACCAAGAGCATCTACTGATCAAGGGACTTAAACCAAATTTACATGTATATCAACTGAAAATTTTTCTTTTTTATTTATATTCACTTTTGTAAATTCAAGGTACGATAACGCGCGAGTTAACGCTCATCTGCGTGCGAACCTTGAACGCGAAAGTGAGCCTGAGTTGGTTAACCTTTAATGGAAACTGAAAATGTTTCGATTTCATTTATATTCAGTTATTTAAATGACGCACGAGTTTACGCTCCTCTGCGTGCGAATCCTGATCGCAAAAGTGCATGAGCCTGTGTTGGTTAACCTTAAAGAGAAACGTTGCACTCTTTAAAACATTTCTTTTCTTTCACTTCACACATTGTAATCTATTTCCCCTTGAAATGCAATCTTTTGTAGGTTTTTTTTAAGCTTCCTTTTTCAGTGTAATTGATATTTCGGTTTCGGAGCAATGCAAGCAAAAGGAAACCTATTTAAACATTTTCAGAGGTCTTTAATACACGCCAGCCTTTAGCAGATGCACGGTTAAAGGAGCTTGCTTTTCTACCAACTTACATCGTACAACTCTTTTAGCGCGTGGCCGCGCAGATTTTGTTGCGCTTGTAAGGTAACGCACGAGCAAGCAGACACAATTCTCTTTTTTCTGTTGCTTATTTTGCCAGATTTATTTTTTTGAGAAAGAAAAACAAAAACCTTATCACCTGAGCTAATCGTATACTGATCAGAGGTCCGCCCAAGCTGTCAGCTTTATTTGCCGATTTTTGAGTACCTTTCATGTAACCGGAACTGGTCGATAATGTGTGTAAGGCAATAACAGTAAATAT